ATGGCGTGATATGCTCCATACGTCGCAGACCATAGACAAATCTCAAAGCGTAATTCTGAGACCGCTGGAGCATATCCGCCTGAATCACAGTCATGTCATTGATCAATGAGTTGCAGTAACTGAAGTGGGGCAGTACAAGTGATTTGATCAAATGAAGTTTTGTGTGTTGTGGCAAAAAGTTCTGCAATCTTTTCAGTGAATGTATGGAGGCAAAAACCTTTTTTCGTGTGTCCGTAACCGCTGTGTCCCAAGTAAGTGAAGAGTTGAAAGATATGCCAAGATTCTTTACATTGTCAAAGTAGGGCAGTGCTTTGCCACCAACTGTGATTGGGTTTATTGAGTCTAAGTCAATTGAAGGGCGAAGTCGAGGGTGGCAGATTACAATCGGTTTTGTCTTTTCGTGATTTAGTCTCAGTCCATGATTCTCAGTCCAAGTAACTATTCGGTTAACGTCTTCATTGATCCTTCTGACACAGTCATTTTCGTTGTTTGCAGTAAAATAGTCATAGATTTGCAAGTCGTCAGCGTACATGTGGTGTTTACAGTTGGTCAAGGTCGAGTTTATGTCGTTGACGTACAGTACAAAGAGCAGTGGTCCAAGGATTGATCCTTGGGGCACACCGCATGTAACAGTCATCCAGTCTGATCTTGTGTCACCAACCTCCACACATTGCTGCCTATCTGACAGATAAGATCTCAGCCATTTAAGAGAATTCTGGGAAAACCCTATTGCCCTTAATTTCTGCACCAGCAAGTCATGATTAACACAGTCAAATGCTTTGGAAAAATCAAATAGAGTTAGAATCGTTCCTTGTCGACGCTCCATAGCAAGTCTAATGTCTTCAGTCACTCGAAGGAGTGCTGTTTCTGTACTGTGCGCTGATCTGAAACCAGATTGATAGTCAGATAGAATGTTATTTTCAGTGATGAATTCAGTGTTTTGACAGTGAACGATCCTTTCTAGGCCTTTAGATAGAGCGGGCAAAATACTTATCGGCCTGAAATCCCCAACCAGAGTTGGTGCTGAGATCTTTTTTAGGGGACGGACAATGGCAGACTTCCAAAATGAAGGGAAAGAACAGTGCCTCAAAGATGCATTAAAAATGAACGTGATAGTAGGAAGGATTGCGTAGAGGATGTCTTTGATAAAGCGGATAGGTATCCCATCAGAACCGACAGCATTGCTTCGGATTCTGCGAATAGCCATCAAAACATCAGACTGAATAACTGGTTTGAAATTAAACTCGGGATATCCCAGGTGCGGGGTTGGAGAGTTGACTAATTCATTCAAGTAACTATTGACTTTGTGCTGATTGGTATTTTGACTGCTAGAAGAAAAGTAAACGTTTAACTCATTTAGAGGGATGTGTACTGGTTGAGAATCAAATTGTTTCCCAAGCCCAAGACTTTTAACTTTACGCCATAAAACTCTCGATGGCTGTTTTTGATTTTCAAAAAGTGCATGAATGTATCTGAGTTTGGAATTTCGCAAAAGCTGTTTAACTCGATTACGAAGATTACAATATTGTTGTTTTAGTTCGATATTGTTGGAGTGCCTAGCTCTTCTACCTAAGCTATCACGTTTAGCCATCAAACCTTTGATTTCAGGGGTCATCCATGGAACAGGCCTTCTTTTTGTCACGCGCTTTGTTAAGATGGGAGCATGTTTGTCAAAGAGATTTAATATGGAAGAATTTAACTCATGAACCATTTCATCGACGGAATTTAAATTTTGAATGAAGTGCCACGGAGTTTGTTGAACGTCTAACATGAATTGTGCAACATTCATATTTTTAAAATCCCGATATTTAATAAGCTTTGCTTTGGGCTTAGGAGATTTGATTGAGTACACACAGAAAATAAGGTCATGTTTGGATATTGAAGGAACTGGAAGCTGCCCATGGTGAATGATATCTTGATGATTGGACACTACGATTAGATCCAAGAGGGTATCAGAATTGGCAACATGATGTGTGGGATCGAGTGGAAGTACAGTTAGGTTACATGATTCAAACAAAGTAGTCAGCTGTCTGTGTTCAAAGTTATGAGTCGATGATAGTAAGTCAGTGTTGAAATCACCCATGATCAAAACATGACTGTATCTGAACATTTCATTAAGCAAGGCATTTTCAAAATTGAGCAGATGCCCTGATCTTGGTGGGCGGTAGCACACTCCTAGTAACAGCGCATCTGCTCCAGATAAACTAATCTCAATTAATAGGAATTCTGGCCCAGCCGAGTACTCCGATGGTGAAGAAAAAATAGTTTTGAACTTTAAATCCTCCCTGATATACACCGCAACGCCACCGCCCTGTTTACCAATCCTATCATTTCGCTGCAGCACATATCCAGGGAGAGACACCTCATTTGAATGAATACTCGGCTTAAGCCAGGATTCAGAAATGCTAATCAAGTCAAAGTTTCCAGGATAAAAGATTTCTCTAACCTCATCAATGTGAGCACGCAAAGACTGGGCATTGATGTGCGCCGCTTTCAGGTGTTTAGGATATGGAGATAAGGAGCGAGAGAGACAATCAGCGGTGGACAATGTAGGGTGTAGGATGGGGGAGGGGGGAGAGATAAGCGGGTCGCTGTGGCGAGCACTATGCGGCTGTGGACTCGCTATCCCGGGTCCACAGGTCGCGACGTCACGACAGGCGCCCCCAAAACCACTGCACAAGGCGCGATCACTGATACACACTCACACACACACACACATACATACATACTGAAATTAAAGAAAATCCCCGTACAAAACAAAACAACACGCTTGTGTGGCTCCGCTAAAAAATTAACAGAAAAATATGACTTTGTGCAAAAAATAATAGAATATACAGACTCAAAACTAAATAACAGATAATTCAACAATGAAATTTAACTATACTTTGAATTCAATTTCCATATAAATCTAGTATTCTCCAGTATAAGCACTAAATATGTATGTATATAGTGTATATATTTTTAATTACTATTAAATGCATTTCCGTTTTTCTATAAGTTTATGGGAAAACAATACATTATTGATGGATAATTTAACCGTGCAAAATAATATCCTCATCACTAAAATAATAAATATAAATAAATTAGCAATAAATTACGAATATAAACCAAACATTGACTTTTAACTTTAGTTCATTTAACATAACAAATAAACTACATAGTACTAAATATTGTCAGACTCAGAATATTAAAAAAAAGGAATAAAATATATATATACATTCATACCCATGTTTCAGTTAAACAAAAATCATGCAATTTCTACGGTGATTAAGGTATCCAATAATTAATTGTGTAAAATATTCTTGCATTTGAACATTGAGATAAAATGATTGTAACTATACATTTAAAAATTACGGGAAAAATAATAATGATAAAAATATATTAATGATTAAATATAAATAGCTGTGGGAAAAAATAGGCATGACAAAAAATAAATGGTTTAAAAGAAAAATACTGGCAAATAAATCAAAATAAAACCTTAACTGTCACTTGAAGTAGAGTTTTGGACCACAGCTGGTAGATCGGCCAGACGCGTCGCCACCTTCTTCTCCCCGCTCTTGTCGACCCAGAGCACTCTGCCATCCTGGGTCCAGACGTTTCCCACGCCGAACCGTGCCACCGCCTGCTTATACACCTGCTGACGAAAGTGTGTCAGGTCTTCCTTTATTGTGACGCCGGTCCCCTTTAGCCGCTTCTTCACGTCGAAGACAGTCCGTCGGGCCCTGTAGGTGCTGAACCGGACGATGATGGGCCGGTGCCGCTCCCTGCCGTCAGTTCCCGGCTCCTGTAGCTTGCCGACTCTGTGGGAACGGGAGATGGCGTCTTTTGAAAGCTCTACTCCAAGCTTGTCACGGCAAATCTTAACCACTAGGTTGTCAGTGCTCTCATCCTTCGTCTCCTTGACGCCAAATATTCGAATATTTTCCCTCCGCTGATACTGTTCCAGCTCATCTGTTCTTTCTGCTAGTCTGTTGTTTACTTCATCAATCTTCTTCTGTAGGCTCGACACATCGTCCTGTAGCTTGCAAATTTCTTGGTTGAACGAAGCCAAAGCTGCCTCAACGGCTGTCTTCACCGCCCTCTGCACGACCGCCTCAACCGCAGCAAGCAAGGCCGGGTCGATGTTGTCATTGTTGGAGGTAGTCTGCTTAGGCATTGTTGTGACAGACGAGGGCGGGCTGGCGCTGGTGGTTGGAGACGGTGCTGATAAGGAGCGTTGGACGTTCCGCTTCTCCACGGCAGATAGCAGCACTGACTTGCCCTTATGTCCTGACCGCAGGTTCGGAGGTGACCGAATCATGAAAGTCTTAAGTTAGGTTAAGTTCGTATATTGTGCTTTAAAACGCTAATAAAACACGTTATTCACAGTACTCACTATTAAATAGTTAGCGGCACTTTAAAAAAGTATAGTTGTTATAAAAAGTCAATAGTCACTCACGTAATAACTAAAATGTCGTCAAATATAGCGGAGCTGAAACGAACGCGTGTTCTACTCTGACAAGTTCATCCCCTCTCTCCCTATTTTGTTGCTATTTATACTATTACAATAGAAATTCTCAACAAAACAAATAACAATCATAAATAAAATAAGAAAGCAGTAACTCAAAATACTCCAAACATCCAAAAGCCCTTCAAGTCCCAGAAGGTTTTGAATTAAACTCTGGGTCAAGAAATTCTTGTATATTATACATAAGTTAAATTCAGAAAGATTTTATATACTTTGTTTAGAAATAAGTAAAAATTAGTATTTTGTCCTTGTTGAATAAAGTAATAAATGTAACATACTAATCTTGGAAAGAAAAGTGGTTATGTAAATAAATTTGTAAAACTACTGCCTGTTAAGTTCTAGCTAAATGGAGGTTTTATGTGTTAACGATGAGTAATTTTAAAATAATCCACGCTACTATTGATAAGAAATCGTAATAAGTTGGAAACATGTATAGCATGTTGAATAATTGAACAGTTTGACATCATATGTAAGTAGTTGTCTCCTCACTTACACATCGTTCTCCTTCTCCTCATCGTCACTGTCCTCTGTGAAGACTCTGCGGTTTATCTTGACGGGGCTGATCTTCTCCCTGGGCTTACACTTGGCACAGTACCAGTTGCCCTTCGGCACACTGGTCAGTTTAGGCTTGAGGCAGTACATGTGGTGACCTTTGTTACACTCGTCACACAACAGCATCTTCTCAGGGTCGCCTTTCCGCTTGCACAACCGACAATACGCCTTGAGGATGGACCTGGCCCAACTGATACTACTATCTGCAAGTTGCACACAAGTCATGATTGTTAGGGTTTCTTTTGGAAACAAATTATTTGAAATAGTCTTATACTTTTTTAAATTTCATACCAAATTTTATGACTAAGATAATGGAGTCATGATTTACTTGGTAATGTTCCAAAGTTATCAAATCCAGTTAGAGCACAGAAAACATACTACTATAACCCAGAATGCCAACCGCGTTCTATGCTGAGTGCATGGCAACGCTGGTGGCGCTGCCTACGATTGACAGGCAAAGCTCTCTCAAAACACTTAATGCTTTTTACCACGCGGTTGGCATTCTGGGTTATAGTAGTATGTTTTCTGTGGTTAGAGGCAGAAAAATGACATAATGAAAATTAACTGACAGTAATTTTGTCTCTGCTTCTCTTCTGAAACAACACAACCAAATGCGTAATAAAGGCCAATGACCTAAATATCATCATTGTGCAATGTTGTATTTTGATGTAAAAATGCAAATCATGGCATTAATTTGAACATATTTGTAGTTAATTCAAATTATATTTTTGAAAATTCAAAGTTTCTACACGGAAAAAGAGAATCTGAAGTCAAACCAGGCAAAGGATTCCCGAAAATACAACTATGTATCATTGTCCTGCTATTAGAATCCCAGGCCAAGCCACCCCTCTAGTCTAAATATAGCTTCAAGGTTGCACCCTCCACTCCCCCATCGCCATCGCTCCATTCACAGTGGCCCTTTCGAGGTCATTGTCCAACCCATCCCACCCTTCTATTGTTTGTTTTGCTGTATTAGTATTTCTAATCTGACTTTTTCTTTAAACATTAAATTAAATAAATCATGGAAGTCGTAAAGAAATAAAAGTGATAACACTTTTTAACTTTATAGAGCAAAACTACTGACTCAACAAGTTCTTGGAAGTACTTGACTTGCCTACAACAATGTCGTCATAAAATATTAATGGTTTTGGGTTTTGGGACTGCTAATGGTTTTTTATTGTCCCGCAACTCTGGTAATAAAAATTATGAAAATCCTAAACAATAATCTGATAAACCTTTTTATGTGCTCCTAACAACAGTGAATTGAAAGTAATTAATTGTTATAATCTGTACCGGAACCGACTACGGTAGGTAATAAGGCTAGTACCTTGATCGGTGGGTGCACCGCAGACCCCTAACTGAATGCATTTATATGTTTTTAAAGTTTAAAATAAACAACTCGTTATTGTGTTGGTTGGAAAAAAGTAACCAATTGTGTTACATTATTTTGTCAAAATGTTGCTGCAAACATGTTTTTTCCTAAAAATGCTTTACCTAATTTTTAACTACTTTATTATGGCTATGACATGCTATGACCTATCTTAGTTGTAAAATAGGTTAAGCCTTTATCTTAACTGTTTTTTCTTGACATAATCATGTTAGGAGCCAAATGTGTTAATAATGTGTGATACTGTAATTGTTGGTAGAAAACCATAAATGTAGGAACTTATTCATTTTTATAGTAATATCAATTAAATAAAATGAGAAAAATTCCAGTAGCCCTGTACTGTATCCATTTTGTACCAAGAACAAATAAAATAGGTAAGGGCAAAAATCGATTATTTTAAAATGTTACATTGGTTAAAATCAGAATTATTAACATTAGCAGGGTTCCAAAACTGTGATTGGAAAATTCTTTGGAGTCTATCATAATAACATAAATATTCGCTCGGTAATATTCGATATTCGAATATATTATGAAGTATTTGATTCGATTCGAACCCAAAAATCACTATTCGCACACCCCTACTTAGGAAAAAGGACAGTATCCTACATTCAAGGTTTTCTAACAACAATTACTGTCCCACACCATGGTGTCTACTAAACCTGGTTTGAAAAATTCAAGGAGTTTTCCAGGAGAATTCAAGACAAATTCCTGAATTTTAAGAGCTACTATCGGAACCCGTTCAACTAATCGCAACCCACTAATAATAATTTATAATTACTATTAATGATTATTTTAATTTAAAACAAAACTTTTCCAAAGAAAATATTTTATACAACATAATAAAACAGTATATCTAGTAGGTAAGGCGACACCAGCTTTCATCTCCTGCGATCGTGGGAATACCAGTGAGCATATCTTGCAGTCTCGTCAACACAGGCAACCGATCGCGGCAAAACAGGTTCGCATATTTTATGATTTCAGCGACACCGATAATCGTCTCCCGCGATCGCGGCACTACCCGTGAGCATATCCTGCGGTTTCGGCGACACCAATAATCGTCTCCCGCGATCGCGGCAATACCCGTGAGCATATCCTGCGGTTTCGGCGACACCGATAATCGTCTCCCGCGATCGCGGCAATACCCGTGAGCATATCCTGCGGTTTCGGCGACACCGATAATCGTCTCCCGCGATCGCGGCAATACCCGTGAGCATATCCTGCGGTTTCGGCGACACCGATAATCGCCTCCCGCGATCGCGGCAATACCCGTGAGCATATCCTGCGGTTTCGGCGACACCGATAATCGCCTCCCGCGATCGCGGCAATACCCGTGAGGATATCTTGCCGTTTCGGCGACACCGATAATCGTCTCCCGCGATTTCGGCAACAAAAGCGGCAGTGTTTGGTTAGCCGACGATTCCGATGACCGGCTGTGGATTCCCGGAGGTTTGGGTGGATTCCTGGAGTTTTCCAGGACATTTCAAGGTAAGATACAATTCTCGGAGTTTTCCCGGTTTTCCCGAATTTCCCGGAGAGTAGACACCATGCACACATTATTAAAAACTTTTACTCCTAAGCTTAACTATTTTACTCTGAAATACTTCATAGCCATGATAAAGTGGTTTTTTTTTTTAAATTAGGTTAAGAATTTTTAGGAATAAGTATGTTTCAAGCAACAATTTGACAAGATAATTTCACACAACTGGTAAATTATTTCCAACCAACACAATATCTAGTTTTTTTTTTTACCTTAAAAAACATCAATGCATTCAGTTTGAACACAGTGTAGTTGCCAGCTGTTCACTTTCAACAGACAACAATGTCTTGACGTTCCCCACCACACATTTGAGTTGTCTTATTATGGTGTAGTTTTTCTTCAGGAAAAAACTAACCCTTAACATTAAGTTTTGCGACAACGAAAAATGTTTAAGCATGTAAAAATAACTTTGCAAATATTAATGTAAATGTTACACATCTGGCCCTTGATAATCAAGATTATTCTTTTGCAAATCATAATCTTAAGCAGCTTGCTATATATAACAATCATATTTCTACAAAAAAATTAACCATAATAATTATAAATCAGATTTTACAAAAAAAAAAAAAAAACAGCATTCAATCTCAACCTCTGAAAATTCTGTATCAAAATGTTCAACACATCTCATCTCACCTTAATATATCTATCTATCTATCTATTAGCGAATTTCCCTATAGGAAAGTATTAGCGAATTTCCCTATAGGAAAGTAGCTATTACCGTAGGTCTCATGGTAAGACTTAGGCCCGGGACCGATTTACTTTTTCATTTTAATGTCCCCAGAGGCCAAAAACACCATTCGTTCAAATTTGTATATATGTATATATATATATATAGATTTATATATATATATATATGTGTCCGTGAACACGATAACTTGAGTAATTTTTATCCGATTTTGATGAAATTTGGTTTGAAGGTGTAAGGCGGGATAAACTTGAATGAGTTCCCGATCCAGCATGATCGGACCATGGGAACAGGGTTTTATGGGGGGTTTTATGGGGTAAAAATTGGTTTTTCTCACTTCTTACCCTCAAAATACAAAATTTCCCAATTTTTCTCTAAACCTTCTTAAAGAGCTTAAAAAAAACAAACAATTCAGTATATCAAAGTGTTTTTGTACGGTTATTGGTTACGGAGAAAACTAAAAAAATGGTAAATTTAAAATTCCTATGTTATTCTTATGGAGAATATTGTAAAATCTTGTAGTTTGCTTGTTTATGGATATATTTTGATCAAACTTGGCAAATTTATTTATTTTATAGTAAGCTATCAATATTTTACTAAAAACACACTACTTTATTAGTTTCCTTGTAGCATCAAACCTAGGTACTCGTTAAACCTAATGTTATTTAAATAGATCAATTGAAAATCAATTCGGCCAAATGGAAATTCGCTTAGACGGCAGGTTTGCTGCGGCGGGGGTATATTAATTACGTAAGCCGATTCTTTGCGTCAAAATAAAATAGAATAAATTCTATGGTTGGGCAATGTCACAGTACTGTATATTACAACGCCGGATTCGGTGGATTCGAGATCCGGATTCGATACATACCTAGTCGTAATATACAGTACTGTGACATTGCCCAACCATAGAGGTTATTAACGTCGCAATATACAGTACTGTGACATTGCCAACCATAGAAGTTATTAACGTCGTAATATACAGTACTGTGACATTGCCCTACCATAGAGGTTATTGACATCGTAATATACAGTACTGTGACATTGCCCAACTAATATCATCAACTTCTAGTTTCATTTTAAGATTTGGAAAAGTTTTAGTATCCCAAAAAATGAGGGATTATGGGCTCAACTGGAGATTACTCTATATATAAGATATATTAACCTTTAAAAATTACCAATTTAATTTTAAACAGTATGATTTAAATTGGCATTCTGTTAATTACGTTTTTTTTTAAAGCCCTTATGACAGTGTGTAACCATACAGGTTATTGTTATTTTATGTATTATATTATTTTTATGTTGGTTTTCTTAATAATTGACACTATTCATGTATATATTGTAGATTATGAATAAAGGATGATTTGATTTGATTTGATTGACGTCTTAATATACAGTACTGTGACATTGCCCAGCCATACAGGTTATTGACGTCGTAATATACAGTACTGTGACATTGCCCTAACCATAGAGGTTATTGATGTCGTAATATACAGTACTGTGACATTGCCCAGCCATACAGGTTATTGACGTCGTAATATACAGCACTGTGACATTGAGTAAAAAAATCGGTCTTTTACATGGATACAGACAGCTT